CTGCGATATTGCGTTTTATACTAATTTTTGCTGCCTATTTGCATTCCATGATGCTACCTCTATCTCATACGTAAACTGTGTATTTTAATTTCACTTTTTACATTCGCATTTGTTGCTTTTTTTTTTTTTTTTTGCATGAGTGCAATATTAATATTATTATTTATCAGTTTATATTTTTATTGAAGAATTCGATTATGGGAGACAGGATTATTGTTCCGTAGCAATCGTAATATATGTAAAATTCCTTTTTCTCTCTTTTAATGCAATGAAGTTTGTAAAATCTTTCGAAGAATCACCCCGCCCCCCCCAAAAAAAAGAGCTTAAAGAAATATTATCACCAAACATAGGCTAAAATTATCTGCACGAGTTCCGATAGGGAAGACAACTGCAACTATAGTCTTCAGATTAGAATATAATCTGAAGACTATAATCGAAGAAAGATTTGCCTTTTAAAAATGTAAAAGGACATACAGATTAAAAAAAAGGATTCTGTACAAATCACATACCGCATAACCCTAGAAAATTATTTTACAAATTACCAAAAAAATTTCACATGCTTATAACAATAATTAATTACATTTTTCATGAATTATACGCAGTTTTATTTAAATCAAACGGATATATTATTTAAAACGGAAAATAAAAACATTATTAAGACATTTATTTACTATTTTTAAACCACTTAGTTTGCTAATTAGTAACAGAGAAATTAAATTTGAGAGCTAAGTTAAATACCTTACGCTTTGTGGAATGGCAACACACTGACGCTTTGAAGATAAAAATATTTTATTTCGAACAGTAAAACATATTGCTTCTAAACTGCTCGATTTATTAATTTAAAATTCATTAAGTTTGCACAAAACATAAAATTAATTAAGAAAAAACATATGTTCTGGTGAAGGACTACGTGCGTTCAAAATTCGGCGGCTCACGGGTTTTCCACAATACAACGAACAACCATAACCATACCGATTCCTCATTTTTTTAATAATAATATGATTAGTTGACAGTAAATGATGCCACGTGTTTGAAGCCACACGCATCCTCGCTTAACACATTTAATCTTTTCACTTACTGAAATTCTTTTGTCTCAATGCGGCAGCAATATTTTAAATATATTACATTAAAAGGGAATATTGCAAGAGAAAACTTTGTTTGTAATCTTTCCTCAACCGAATATTCGACTAAACAAAAAAAAATTACAGTCAAAGCTTCTCATGTTAAATTTGCGGTAACTAGTTGGACGATTTGCTTTAATGCTTCGGCGCAGAAATTTTGAAACACAGCTCGAATAGAAAATTTACATTAACAATAATCATGTTAACTGCTCACCGTGACACAGACTGCATGCAAAATTTATTACAACTTGACACATTTTCGGTGCAAGTTTTGTAAATAGCATATGTAATTAAAAACCATAATTAATAATACTAAAAATAATAGCTTTAACAGAAAAAGTAAAGTTTTTTTAATTTTAAGAAGAGAGTATCATTTAAAATAAAAAATTAGTAATTTCCAATACAATTTTTTTATTCCAGGTTACTTTGATTACATTTTATTTTAATAAATCTGATAGATCAGAACCCCTAATAACCATTCTTCCGCATGTACCATTCGTTAGTTTTTGTCTAATGTAAGAAGCATTATTTATTTTCGCTTAAATAGTTTCGATAGGAAAAACTGAAGGGAAGTATGTAATTATTATTTACATTTGATGCTGTAAAGCTTCGCATATGGCCATCAGCTCCGCGTCCGTCTTTATTAGTGCAATTTCCAAAAGTGACTTTTTCCTTCAAATTAAAATAAAAAAACTTAAAAAAAAAACTGTTAATTTAAAAAGATTTTCAGATTGTTTTTTAAGTTTGGGTCCACAAGAAAGATGAAAAAAGAAAATAAAATGAAATTTAAAGCGTTTTTCTGTACGCAACGTGCAAAGTGAAAGCAACTCGGATCATCGAAATATTTTTAGTTTTAAAACGTAGTATTTTCAGTTGAGGTAAGCACGAATGAAAAATGTAAAAACAAAGGAACTAAAGAACGCTTCTTTTATTCCTCGTTCGCTAAACATTTTCATCCGTACCTTCACATTTTTTTTAAACATAATATTAATGAAAGCAGAAGCTACATGTTTATTAGCAAGGAAAGCATAAGCGGAAAAGAGACGTATTTCAAGATGGAGGCTTACTTCAAAGTAGAAAGGTTTTGGATATGAAAGGACGTTACTAACTTTTTATTTAGCAACAGTCCTTTTAATTGCACATTTTAATATGGCTACGTCCTCTTCCCGGAATCTAAACTGAGTCATTTGAAAACTAATTAGCATCTCTTGTCCAATCATTTAAACAATCAACTCTATAAACACGTTTAAACAAAAATTAAACAAAACAAAACATTCAAAATTTAAACAAAACATTCAACTCTATAAATACGTTTCGCTGAAATGCGCACTCACTTTTTTGTTACCTTTCTCTCGCTGCCCAAACGCATGTTACTCTTTTCTCAAAGAAAGCCACTGTCTAATGATGTGATTCGTTTTATAAAAGTGTTTAAAGTGCGTATCGCACCCAAAATGATGCGTGAACATGTTTATGCTTATCAAGCATGTTCGCCAATAATTTAATGTCTTTTCTTTTGTTCAAGTCTGTCTCCGTTATGTCATGTTGTGTATCTATACATTAAAGCCTTTTCAAGTAATTACATATACTTGACAGCTATCATCGTTAACAGATATCATCTAATCCTCAAATCATATACACCGAATATCATAATGTGAACCGCTTTACGACTGCAGCTCAAGTTAATTTGCTACAAAGAAATGAGCAACATGCGTTTGCACAGCGAAAGGAAGACACGAAAATAGTGGTGCGCATTTCAGCAAAGCGTATTTATAGTGTTGAATCTCTTGTTTAAATTTTGAATGGTTATTGGAGAAGAAGTAACTACATCACAGGATTAATAATGCGAATTAGTTTTCATGTGATGCAGTTCAGATTCCAGGCAGGGGGCATAGCCTAATTAAAATGGAGTTAAAAAAACTTTTGCTAAATAAAGTTGGTAATTTTCTTTCACATTTTATATCTTAAACGCACATTTAGGTATATGGGCAAATAAAAGTGGCTCAGAGAACAGCGTTACTCTGTTTTCCAGGCCACTTTTATTTTTCTCACCCTACATACATTCGCTTGGAGACTAAACACTGGGGGATCCTGCCACAAGCTGACAAGTTCAGGGCATATGCTTACACACCCCGGGCCCACGGTCAAGAAAGCAGATTTTGGGCACTGAAGGCCTTCGCTCATTAGGGCTGTTACGCCACTGAGTTTAGTAGTTTATACATATACATAGTGAGAGAAAGAGAGATTTTGATAATCTAATTCTTATTGAAATTAATAAGTCTTACTTATTTAGAGCGTATAATCATTTCCTCGCATTCATTTTTTTTTTTTTTTTTTCTGAATCCCATTATAAAACGATCAATCGAAGTTCCATTGCATTTATTTTTTATATTTAAGGGTTTATACGAATGTCTGTAAATTCCAATGTTTCAGATTCCTTATTGGCACTGAAAATTGTGTAGTGTAAGTTGGAAAAAAATACTCTCATACTTTGGAAACAGATATTATATGAAATTTCTACACTCAGTTTACATTTTACGGTTATGAGAGCATTTTATAAGAATTTATATTTCATTGCTATCGCAAATTCTATTTCCATCTACTCCTTTCTCGAAATGCTTATAATTTACATACTCACAGTTTTAGACATTACACAACACGCACTATTCCGTTTCAGCTTGACTTTTCTTTGCGATAATGAGCATTCATCAATCAAAAGTAACTACAAAGTGACACAATCTAATGAAACATGGCAGCTCTAAATATATTGCAATAATAGGTATGCAATGCAATACTAAGAACTTGCTATAAACTTAACAGACGTAATTGTTTATTAACTATATATTGGATGCCGCCGAAAATAAAACAATGATATATCTCACGAGAGAAGGTTATATTTTTAGCGTAACTTATGTCCCTCTAGAAAAAGGTGCCAATTTTTTTTTTTTTTTTTTTTTTCCTGCACAACAGCAGCTTTACTCACTTTTTAGCTCCCGATGACGAATGAACCACATCAGATTTTTTTAGAAGACTCGCTGCCTCTTTATTTGAAATCAGTACCAACATCGACTGCATTCTAACCAATTTTGTAATTTCTTTCAGCGTTTTGTCGCGATAATTATTTATCGACTTATCGCTTCAGGATTTCCAATGCGCAAAGCTTCTTCAGAAATTTCATATCAAATGAACTCTTAATAAATGACACGAGTACGATCGCTTACAGATATATTATTAACAATACAGTCTAATATATGAAATTTTCCAGATTCAGGAACTTTCTGAGCGTCAGTCCTTCAGATGAGTTCCAGCTTTTGTTTTATGTATGTATTTAACACATTCCATGGATCTGTTTTCCTGGCTACGACATGCCATTAATCTTCACTGCTATTATTAATGATAGTTTTGCACACATTATGTGGCCATTAATTATCAAATAACTCTTTTCATTTTCAGCACAATGTTTTATAATTTTGTAGCACTCATTAATAAATCAATCTTAATTACAAGACATTTATTGGACGCGTAGTTACTTGAGAAACTTTACGAATAAAAGATTCAAGCACTTACAGTTCTTTTGAAGTTAGTCGATTCCTTTATTTCGAAAGAAATGTGTTATTTTCGGTTAACATACAAAACTTCCAGTCCTGTCAAAACTAATGGATGAGTAGAAAAAGGAGAATTCTCAAACGATCTTGGTAAGCTTAACACTGAGCGAAACACATCTTTCTCTTCTACGCATTTTCGAGCAGCGGATCGTCTTTTATCATTCAACGAAGCTTAAATTGTTTAATTTACCTTTCAAACTTAAGAAGTACGCTTAAACAAATTGAGATATTCAAAAGCAATGAATGGCCACTGAGTAAAGCATTAGACTTTTAAACTTACCTTCCACGCACCCCCGCACGTAACCCAGGGTGATGTGATTCTGCAAAGAAAAATATTTTAAATTTATTCAGTCTACTGCATAACAAATTGAATGTAATTCATTCAACAATATACGAAGTTCTTAATAATTTAAATATTTGCATCACTTTTTTATTAATGTTTGCAATTAATATAAGATACGTTTACCTTTACAATATATTTAACTTATAACTTTTATAAACATTTGCAACCGTCTTATAATTAATAAAAATGTTTCAAAAGCCATATGTACTGAACATATATTACGTAAAACTGGCAAGAACATATTTTTTAATTTTCATATTTTACATTAAAAGAATTTCTTAAATTTTATAATAAAAATAAACTCTTTTCAAGGTGTTACACTGTTATCTGAAATTTTCAGTTTGCATTTTTTTAATTCACTTGTTCCAATGCATTTAGTCCTCTACATGACTGCTTGACAAGAATGTGATTTATTCTATTAAACACAGGCCGTCACCAATGCCGAGCGGTTAAGACTGCTGAATATTCGGTTCTGGCGAACGGGCTGGTTAAATGGTTGGTTTCGAGGTTTTTTTCCCTATAGGTCACCTGAATACGACTTAGCTTCTCTTACAAAGGCCTCCACGAAGGCATCTGTCCCTTTTCGTAGGTACAGCTTTTGTACATTGCCATATTCAAACAGCTATAACCATAAGTTTTACTTTTTTCTGTTTGTTGTTATACAACACTAGAAAGTGCGGATTAATTACATCGAAATCACGAAGCTTTGTAATATCTAACAAACATTTATAATGAAATTTTTTTTCAAAACAGATGTTGTTTCGCATGCAATAAAATTATATTTTGACCATTAGAAGAAACTATCAGTTATATGTAAAAAACGTTTCAACCACGATTTTTTTCATAATTTCATTTAAGAATATGAAAGCCTATTTCGCACAGACATTTCGTGTGTAAAGTATATTTAAAGCTGATAAGTACCAATAATCGGTCTTCTAACTGAAATAAGTATCAGACGAGTTGGAAGTGACTTACAAGTTTTCAATCACTCGAAAAACAGGCCAGGAAAAAATCGCCCGAAACGTTCAAAATATTGGATCAAAAATGATATAGACGGAATTGGGGATTCTATTAATTATGGCTTCGTTTAATGCAGAAATGGCAATGGTGCCATTCACCAGGACTTGTCTACCACAGAGAGAAATTTCCAAAATCTGTTAGAAAATTTAGAGTTGGAAAGTGATATAGAAAAGTTTGATTAAGAATATTAGGATGAGAAAATCTGATGTGTACACCACATGACTTCCTTGTACGGAATATTAAATTATACGCATTTTTTTCTTGCATTTCATTTAAACTTATTGGATTTAATTAAATTTATTCCGTCATTAGCGCATAAACCACAACAGAATAAATGCACTCTTTAAAATTCACTATATTTGTTTACCATAGCGACAATCTGGCTCTACGTTCACTTAACAACGTTAAATTTCATTCATTTTTTAACTCATGCACAAAATTTATATCATCTTAAGAATTATTTAATCGTTGCAAAATAAATCCAAAACGATGTATAAAAGAAATTAAGCAAACAACAACAAACATAAAAGTTTTTACAGACGATTCAGTATTTCTCATTCAATTAATTCAGTTTTTACTTCGCGACAAAGCAAGAATACATAAAAACTTAAAATATCTGTATTGAAAATTATGAAGTAAATCTTAAACACTTATTTCCTCGAATAAATTTCAGAATGGATTAAGCATGATTTAATTCACAATAATAAAAGAAGGCGTTATCTTTGTTTTTGCGAAGCTTTCTTTATCTAGATTGGCAACAAATCTACTATTCTGCTGTTTCAAATGTAAACAAACATTGCCGACATTGCAAAAGGCTTAACGGCACTTAAACAACTTTTAAATTGTTAATAATTCTAAAAATATCGCATGCAGATTTACGAAAGGCATAAAAACCTTAACCGGAAGATAAAAACAACATAATTCAATCATTTCTAAAGCAAAAAATGTACAATTTACAAACATATAAGAGTAAAGAAACTGAGATCACTGTGCCGAGTAACAGAGTGGATATATATATATATATATATTACTTTTGGTGCGGCCGATTGCAGCCAAAATACGAGGTGCAACTCTACATGCTATAGCAATCTTATATACAAAATTTCAATGTTCTAAGGCTATTCGTTTTTGAGTTATGCAAGATACGTACATACGCACAGACGCCACAAAAATTTCTCTTCAGAATTCATTTTAAATCAGTTTTATAATTTTTTGGGGGGAAAACAGACCTTTATCCTATTCTGTCCTTACGTACGGATATCACGCAAAAATATCGTTAAACTGCATTCGATAGCGGTCAAAATGGATCTTCAGTCTGAAGTTTTTCGCTATTACAAATACTTCCTTTTTTACTTCGTACATGGAAGTAAAAAACTGTGTTTGTTCTACAATTAACTTCAATTATTTCAGTGATTACTATTTATTTAATCATTCATTTTAAAAGCCATTTTAAACTCGTATTAAGACGATTCCTAAATTTCAATAAAAAATGTTAAAAAATTCCTCACTTATATACGGAAATATACTATTAAATTTAATGTTTGAAGTTTTAACTACGAAATTAATAAAAAAATTTAAAAGAAATAAAAAAATGCAGAAACGTGTTTTTAATGATAAACTCTAATGTGTTACTTTTTAAACAAATTATTTTAAAACTTGTACTTTTTTTATTTATCAGTTTCACCTAAGAAATGACTGAAATAAACAAATTTTGTATAACATTTTAAGAATTATTTTTTTTTTTTTTTTTTTGCAAATATTTTCAAACAGAAAATCTAAAAATAATTAATTTTTTGAAGTAAAAATTCCCAGTCGAAAACTTTCAAATAAATCAGAGCATAATTTATGCCTAAAAAAAATACCGAAAACGGAGCAAAGCAAACACACAATTAATTATGAGCTTGGATTTTCCACCGGACATTTCTTATAAGCATTCAAGGATGCAAATCGCTCTCACAAGAACTCAGATCACTGTCCTTTAGTCAAAACATTAGCTCAAAATCAGTGCGTGTCACGCAGCATAACTCATTCGACTATCCGAATAATTTTAGCAGAGAACTACATGAATAGAATATCGCAGTGGAAATAAGAAAAAAATAATAAATTGCACATAAATTTGCGGTTATATCTCCATGCATCAAAGAAAGTAATGCAGATGTTCGGGAAAACACACTGTTTTCACGAAGTCTGATTAAGAAGATAAACTGAATAACTTGAAACAACACGCAACAGTTCACTTAGCGTTAAACATACTTTGAAATGCATCAGCATCCTTTGAGACGTTTTGAATAAAAGTCTAGAAGTCAGCATAAAATGGATACTTTGTAAAATTTTTTTATTTCTAAATTTACACATTAGCCAACAGAAAATGCACCAGTTTTTCCACCTGGACGTAAAGAATGCCAGAAGAGTAAAAATTTTCTATCAGGATAATTATTCAATAAAAAGTAAAATAATTAATCAGCAAAGCAAATTTCAAAATACGAGAAAATGATTAAAAAATAATAATAATTTGAAATCTTCAGATAATACCTTTACGATTTTAATTTACCGTCAATCAATTAACCTTTAAATTATCTTTAAAGGTGCAAAATATTAAAGAAATATTTAAAAAATTAAAAGTATAAAAACTAAAATTAAATTAAAAGTTACAATTAATAATAAAAATTTGCTATAATCTTGATGTACATACTTCAGTTTAACACCTAAAAAATTTAAGATGTGCAGTTAAAATAGGCCTACATGTTTAACAATTAGATCCACAGAAATTAATATCGAATATTAAACCTAGCTGTTTAATTTAGCAACGCGAAACAGCAAGAAAATAAAAATTTGCTTCATTATTATTTTATCGTAAATGAAAGCCACATAGTGTAATGTAATAAAGTAACATAATGTAATGTTACACTTATGTAATAAAGAAAAAACTTCCAAACGCTGTTGTCTATTTATTTCACTGGATCGCTTGCGCACAAATTTTGCAACATATATTTACCTCAAGTGGCGATATTTTGTTCTATTGGGACATATATTCCTCCAGCTTAAAACAATAAACTCCTCGAAGAGGCTTACATTTTAAAGTGCTTAAACAGTTTATGGTTATTATTTTCGGAAATAAGAAAGATTACAGCAAAATTTAGCATAATAGAAACGGTACAGAAGTTACATTGAATCAGGGATTCCCAAATTAATCATTTTAAAAACTTTATACCTTGCATCGTTTAATTTTTTACATGGGAAGATTTCAGATGCCTAAGGTGAGGGATGCCTTCATGTATGACTTCCTATGTGAAACTTCATGAATTACTTTCTAAGTGAAAACGTTTTCACGTTTCACATTCATTATTTGGAAGTAATTATGCATTTTTTAAAGGAAACTACCGAATGAGGAACCACATGTATTACGTGCAAATACAATTAAATGTGAAACCTGTTCAGATGACCTTCGTCCATATCGCTCATCAAACCATGACGTGACACGGACAAAGAAGGCGAAAAAAATACAAAGGAACATCTTTAATTATTTTTAATAACAACGTAAATGTACTGTAACACAGGCATGGAAATGAAACTTAATGCAATTCATAATTTTGCTTAACAAAAGTAAATTTACTTCTATCTTAATTGTTGATGGCAGATTGATTTGATGATGTTTAGTAAACAATGCCTCTAAATTTACAAAAGAATACAGAAAAGAAAAATTCGAATTTTAATTAAATTATGGAGTCAAATATAGCTTTTATGCTGAAAATGAGAGGTAATTTTTAATGCAAAACTTGGGGAAGGGGGTGAATTTTATCATAAATAAATGTAAAAAAAAATAATTTAGACACAAAATATAGACTCTGTTTACATTAGATGAAACTTTTGCCTTTAAACTTGGTACTATATTTTACAAATGGAAGACAGCGTGTGTATCTGAAACTAAAATATAGGCAAAACAACTTAGTTTCAAGTATAGTCTTTTGTTA